CTACGAATGTCGTCCCAGAGAATTACACGTCGTGCATCACTTGCCGACGCTGGGACTGGTTGGAAAAAGCGGAAAGGTGGTCAGTGTATGACATAGTGTCGTGGTATAAAAGAAAGCTGCAAAGGACTGGCTTCTGATGATCCTTCACGACTCCCTGGTTGGGGTCTGAGAGATGGTGCAACACAGTGGCTAGAGACGTTATCAGATATGGCTCAGAATAGAAGCTAATGGCGATCCTGCCGTAACCTTCTTTTACTTCATAAAAATTGGTTGTATCTTCCTTAACTGAAAGATTTCTTCTGGTTGTACCTTTGCGTTTCCCCCATTATTATTATTATCATCACTATTATTATTATTACACTACCATACACTAATCTGTGATTGTTATTGTTTTTTTTCTTATACGCAGCTTACCTTCTTTTTCTCTTCCCATTCCCATTGTTTTGTGTGGCGCATATATTTATGGTGCCCCGTTGTACCAATATTTATGTGTTCAAATAAAATAATCATTCCCCAAAACCTAATACTAGCACACAATCTGGTTATGTTTTATTGTATCCACCCTAAAAGTACAGCGGACTTAAATGACTTGTCGTATAAATACATATATATTGATTGTTTGTACATGTTAGGTAATTCCTGAAGTGAAAGAAACAAGTTTTAGAGCATGGACGCTCATCGTATTTTCGAACAAGTTCCACAACCACATAAGTCGTTTATTTAACATGAAGATTTTGGTTAGAAATCGAGATTTTACAAAATGGATACTTAAATAATGAGATGTGTTTATTCAAGGTGTATACGAAATGAAATTTCTACTCAGATATCATTTTTTCACCGATTCATATTTTGCCTGCGCGTTATGGTTCTTAATTGTGTTTCTAGAATCCTGGACTTCGAGTATTTTTATTTCGCCTCTTTTATGATATTAAGGTTTTTACGACGGATATTATCTTAATTTACACCTATGTAGGAGATATTTTCATGTGTCATCAGGACAGAAAAATACCCAATGTCTCAAATAGATATTTTTCTTGAAGTTATTCAGTCAGATGGCTCTGAGTTTGCTTGTGCTGTAAATGCAACTACACTTGCCTTAACTGATGCTGGAATTGAAATGGATTACCTCGTCAGTGCAGCTACAGTTGGTGAGCAACATTACATGTTTATTATTTCTATGAATTTGCAAGAAACCTTCCCTAATACATCTACCATGTTTATACTTTCCTATAACATCTCGGTAGTGATCGGTAAGAGTAGAAGATATCCGTAGGTTACTAGTATTCGGTCATATGTGTCTTCGAAGCATTGCTCGTATATCCTGAGACCACCGAGTAAGTAATGCAGTTGTTAGGAAACGGGAACTAGGCAATGATGACAAATCAATTGATTAATTAGTGAAACTTCATCAGTAGAGATGGCTGGGACATGTGTTACGTATGCCCAACCACCGACGTGCGATGTTTCATGATGTAGGAGTAGGTTGGAAGAAAGCTAGGGGTGGCCAGACCACAACATGGCACAAATGCATGAAATCACTGACAATTGGACTGAGCCATGTTGGTAGGTGTAAACTACCTGGTTGGGATCTGCGAGATGACAGCAGCCGATGGTTAGAGACCTTGAATGACATGGCTTATAGTCGTTTGCAATGGTGCAGGTGCATCCACTCTATGTTCTCCCAAATTCTAATCTGAATTCTTCATGTCCCTTATTTTTTCTCTTTCCAAATCTATCTCACTGGATTATACTCCTTGAATAACATTTTCAATCCCTGATGTTTCCGATTACTGCTTATACTTTTACTACCTCCACCACTATGGGATTTGAATCGACAATTGTATCTGTGTGCTAATGTGGTACGGCAACTCGAACTGATTTACATACATACGAAGTCCTACTTTGTTGCTGACTGATTGATAATATCCTTAAAACCCTGTTCTCCGGTGACAGATGATTTCATTTGCTAATTAGTGCAGTTTTTTTGTTTCAGTATTAGAACCTGGTTTCAAAATGTTATTAAGAGTGTGAAGTTTGTTTCCATTTGCAAACTTTTCCTATTCTGTTCGTCATTTAATGAGCTACAGAGTAGCGGGAGCAAAGAGTCTGCAGTGAAATTTCAGCACCAATGAGCCTTAATGAACTACTGATAATTTCAAACAACTTGAACATTGGATGTATTGTTAATAACAAAATAATGATATACTTGTAAAATCCGAATGAGTAGGGAATTGAGTTTTTGACGTCTCATGACAGTGTAAGTCACCTCTTCAGAAAACAAATAGGTAGAATAATCAAATTAACACAAAGTTAAATAGTACACGGGAATATTTTAGTACAATCAAGGCCCAAATATGTCTGACCGTCCTAATGTTGTGTAATTTTTGTAGTTACTGTATTTTTCCCTTTTATTCTTTTCTGAGTCTTTTGAAGGTGGGAATATGTAATTCGGCGAAATTCAGAGGCTTTATCAGATCGCCTAGGTTATTGACATGCTCCAACGTGCATCACGAATCTTTCTGAAAAAAATGTATTCACAAATAAATAATCTTGTTAGGAAAATTCCGTAAGCATGTCAATAACCTAAACGATCTCATAAATCTTCTGATTTCCGCCGATTTACATATTCCCATCTTCAACGTATTTCAGTTAAAGTGGGATTCATTATCTTGATTCATAAAAATCTAGACGAATCAAGAAATATGAAAAGACTCGAAAAAGAATAAAAGGGAAAAATACAGTAACTACAAAAATTACACAACATTAGGACGGTCAGACATATTTGGGCCTTGATTGTACTAAAATATTCCCGTGTACTATTTAACTTTGTGTTAATTTGATTATTCTACCTATTTGTTTTCTGAAGAGGTGACTTACACTGTCATGAGACGTCAAAAACTCAATTCCCTACTCATTCGGATTTTAAAAATATATCATTATTACTGGTATAGTCTACCTTACGTTGATGATCTTAGATCTAGATATATGGTCAATTATTTGTCTTTCAAAAGTAATTCACCAGGTCGATATGAAACACCTGAATAGATAGCTCTTGACTCTTTGTTAATGTGTATGTATAATTTGTGTGCACTGAACTCATGACTTTTTATCATACAAAGGTTTTTTACTGTGCTTGTGACAGGTCTTTGGGGTTCACATGTGTTCGCTGACCTTTGTCGCTTTGAGGAGAACCCACGTATATCACAGTTAACCGTTGTTTGTCTTCCCAATCTTCATCAGCTTTCTGGAGTAATTACAGAGGAGCAAACAGGCCAGTGGAAAGGTCAGCCTCAAATCCTTCATACACGTCTCTCTTCTTGGTTACCTGTTGAGAGACTACAACCACTCATGACAGAAGCTGTGAAGGTGGCTCAAACACTTCAAAAGGAATTTTCTTATTGGCTACGGGGCCGTGTACGTAGTGGTCTTATCACCAGATGACTAACGTGATCCACCTTTATAAAGACATTTTGAGCGGCGCCAGATATACTATCTGAGTATAATGTTTCACGACTGACCATGTGAAGTTACAAAATAAATTTTGATCCTGACTTTAAACTTAATTAAACGAAACTGATTGCTTTACATGTTATGTAGCACAAAATTCTCTTACACAATTACTGCGCTCAAATAATCTAGTTAGTTTCCTGGTGAGAATGCTGTCTTCATCCTTGAGATGCAATTGAGGTAGGTTTTTTTGAATTGGACAAATGAGCCTTCACCTTAAAAGTAAAACCCAATAGACGATGTAGAGACTCCTCATAGTGACCGAAGACTGAGGCTGGTTTAGACGTCATTTATCCATTCAAGGTCCTGCAATTCATATATGCTACTAATATGTATCATTCTAGGTGGAATTCTCTGACCTTTCAACCGCACTCAGAGCTCTAGACGTACGGTTTTATGGAAACACGCATGCTACTTAAGGGACAGTAAGTAGTATCCAAAAAACTATCAAACCTCACTTTTGTAAAACGTTTATGGAGAGAGCTAGCTCTCTCCTTAATGTACGTCGTAGTTCATAACGTTTAATTTTGTTGTTTCCATTGCAAACTGACCGTGATAAATCCCTTGCATTTTAGGACTATTTCTGCTGAATATATATTTATATATATTATCCTTCTACAGTTTGAGTTTTAAAATCTTATTCTAATAAGCAATACGATCATCTGTTTGCCGAATTCCATTCTTCACAGTTTGGGAAAGTCCAGTTCATTCATAATACCAGGTCTAGTGAATAATACATTGTACCCGGTTACGTGACAATATCTATTTCGAAAAACTGACTTATCCCATTACTCAGAACGTACAATTCCGCCAGCACACGCAACAGCTAACTTACTAAACATCCTCTCTATGATATCATAACGCGCATTGAACAACCTGGAGTATTTCGTCGAAAAGTTTTTGGATTTCTTGTCAGGTCCTACCACAAATCAGCAGAAAGTGTCCTTTTCATCAAAAGCTTTGTGTAAGGATTTGAAACTTTAGAACTTTTCAGACGTACTAAAGTGACTACCAATTTTGCTGGAATTTAGCCTAATAATGTGTTTAGGGTGACTCAGACTGTTTCACCATTTCAAAGAACATAGCCAACCAGTAATACCTTACAAACAAATAGCGAGACAGCTTGTTACCTTATATAAATTTGTAGTGTTCCAAGCTACGTGGACGTTGAAATGAAGATTTGTGGCCCAGGTGAGTGATTTCGCTGGAGTGTTGTTCTCTGAGCTGGATAGCTTGACCATCAGAAAATATTATTTTAAAGACGAGTAGTAACAATGTGATCTTCAACTATTTATCATCGAGTTCTCATGACCCAGAGTTACCGGTCTCCAGATTTTATACTGGAGCAATTTTTTACTGCTTATCAAATGGTGATCCTTTTCCTATGAACTAAAGCAAGTTCATAACATCAGTGAATTTCCGCAGAATCCAACCACTATCAGAAATCATGCAAAGTAGTCCAAAATAAAATGAATTTCGGTAAGAAAAGGAATTTGAGTAAAATCTGTTATTGCATACAACTATTACACCAGATATCTAAATTGGATGAAGCGTCATTCGAATCAGCAGTTAACTTTTAACCGCCTCAGTCGACACACATACTAAAGTATACGGTAAACATCAATTCCTCGCTGGATGTTCCGTATCCATACACAAGAGGCTATAGTTTGGCTGTAAACATGTGCAGAAAAGCATATTTACATGCAAAGTCAATTATGAATTTGTGGCACCAGGTATGTACATTTATTAAAAGCATTAGAAATAATCTCACAGTTAAAAAAATAGGTATTGTCGGGTGAGAAAATTGAGATGGAATTGCATAAGTAGATTGAAAATAGTCAGTTAGCTTGTTGGGATGACTGAGTTACAAAAGTCATTGATTTCCATCAACCACTCATCTAAAGACCACGAAATCGGTGGAACAAAATTACGTGGTTCTGCCAAATGTGGATTGGGATGATCTGGATTGGATGATTTCCTAATTTTCACAAGACTGATTGAACCGTTCGGAGCTATATGTATAGTCGCTGTCGCCATAACCCCTTGACCTGCTAGCAAGTGAAGATTGCGTGTAGCTGGATCCCAGTCAAGTGGATACATTGAACTGAGTCGTTTTATGTCCTCTCTCAAGATAAAGTCTACACGCAGATGTTGCTGGATGCATGCTACGATTGTACTTGGAGTGAGGGTTGGTGTGAGACATTCACACAAACTGATTATGCTATTGTGACAGCCAATAACCTAAATATGAGAAAACAGTAATTAAAACAAAAAAATGTTGTTAGGTCCTGTTTTGAAAATTCGATATGGAACAAGGATAGTAAATAATTTTTGGTCATTCAAAAACTTGATATGTTTAATCGGGGTTAGTCATTATGAAGCTTTAAGGAATGTTTGAGAAATTTTACTAAGTAGTCCATACTGCAATCGACATATTAAAAATTCGATGTGAAACTTACGGAAGTTCCCACAACTTGAACGAATGTTGGATTGTTAAAAAGAAACAGGGACAACATCGATCGATATATCAACGCATTGGTAATAACTGTTCACGAGATCGGATCACCGACTCAGGTCTTTGAGTTAATCGATATCAAAGATAAGGCCAATAGCCACAATAAAAGGTTTTTAATTATTAAGTTAACAAGCAAGATATTAACATGACAAGAATATTTAGATGCACATGGGATGGGAGTAATCAGATTTGTAGGTTACTTCACTTTCAGGGTTATTCCTCTTCTATCATCCGAGGAACCAGATAGTTTAGGAGATTTGATCAAATTACATAAAGGGTGAAAAATTCTCATTCTTTTGCTTTTGCGAATAAATAAGTGAAAGCTTAGTGACAAGAATTACAAAGTGATTTCCATCATCAAAGTAAATGAAATAAACTGACCAGAGTGGTAATCATAGACAATAAAATTGGAAATTATCTACAATTTTCGAATCATATTAATTGATTAAGTATTTGCGTCCGTACTCAAAAAGCAGCTTATACTGTCAAACAATCAAAAAATCCCTTGGCATTAACATACGTTTTTCGAAACACGCACACATTATTCAAGTGCGGCCATTCGCCTAACCTTACCAAATCAGCTTAGAGAACCGGGGATATTTACTCCTTATGTATCTGCCGTTGAGACTGCTACTTTGCGTAGCGTCGCTGGTGTAGATGTAGTACTAAGTTCGAATGAAGCTGAAATTAATGGACAGTCGCTTATGCACTGTCCAACTAAATGGAGGAGTAAGAAATTGGAATTATGAAGATAAATTTTACAAAAAGCTTTCCCTACTTTCGAAGATCCAAATGCTCAGATGTAATCATAACAGGAGGTCTTGATGGCTCACTGGAAATCTAAACCAAAGTAGGAGACACTAGTGATTCAAGTGCTTCAAACAGACACCGACAACCATGCTTAGACAATTGCTTATGCTTAGCAAGTGTAATCCTAAAACATAAATATATCGTCTGAAATGATGACCACCGAAATCAACTCGATGGACTCAAATAGACCATATTACCGTCAGCTATTGGTTAGAGAGGCTGAATAAACGATCACGCGTTCGGGAGCACATGTCTAAACTACGATCTTGTGCGAGCACGTGTTTGTCTACGTCTTACTAAACACAGCATGAAAGCCCCTCGGAGCCCAGCTTAATGATAAAAAAGTCAACAGTATATTTCCTGAACGACAGAATCAATTAGTCAATTGTCAGATTGATGTTCACTGAGATGAGGGTTGACACGATATCCAAATTTCTGTGAAAACTGAGGTGATATATACCAGTGAGTCAACCAAAAGGTTAAAAATGAGAATTTTGATGGCCCCCAGTGAATCGGTAGTTACTCTGAAGCTCATCCCACCAAACTGGGTACACAGTGACGAGCGAAGACGACTTAAACACAAAATCAAAAAAATGTCCACGTAGTGGGTATAGACAGCGAAAGCAAAAGATATGGTAAGGGGGAGTGATCGCGACATAAGGCAACTGTTCACGATTTTCTAAGAACCAGATATTGAAAATTCGAGATTTAATTAAACTAATTCGGAAAAGGTTAGGACAAAGAGTCCTCTCAATTCAGGAAATTCACGGAAAATTTCGCCTTATTGAAAAGAGACTAAAATGCTTAAAACCATACTGCCTCGTGACTTAGGACCTCCTACGATTTCACTTACAGCAAACAAATGTGAAAAATATTAGTTTACTACGGAAACCTTATACTTTTTTCCATGACAACTACTTTTATCACAATTCGAGTTGGTAATTTCCTCTCCGTATTAATGTGGTGTGTCGACTGAAACCTATTCACATATATGCCAGGGTCTGCGTTGCATATCACTGAGTGACTGAACAGACGTATGGTCAGTCAAGAAATACTACTGTATCTGTTTAAATATAGGAGGATCTATGTTTCTGAACTATCCGAAGTTACTAAGGAGATAATTACTCATAACCTTATTACTCACCGTATGTAATGTTGTACATATTGGTAAGATTTTTAGGAAATGGAATATCTATCTCAGAGTTCAACTGACTACATGCTTATTGTGAATTATTCGGATGATTAGTCCATATAACTATCGTATCACTGAAAGGATGCACAATTTAATGTGTTACGCATAGTTGATATTTAAAATTATGACATATATATAATATCCCTTTAATAAAAGGTAACTCACTTGACTCTACAACCCAGTCATTTTACATCTAAAATGTACTGTATGGGACCTTCTAATATGAAATGTTTTAAAACAACTCCAAAATGATGCCAAAAACAGCTTATTAAACGAAAGAGCAAATTTTGTGGATTTACTTTTGATATGACTGATTCCGTAGGCTCAGCTAGTCAAAAAACTACCAAACTTTAAAACAATTTTTATACAATATATATGTAGCACAAAGGCAATCACACGAATCCGTTTTGCATAAAACATATAATTCAGTGGACAGTTACTAAAAAGCTGCCATATCTATCAAAACCAGTACCTCACTCAATACAGAAAACTAGATAAAAATTCCAACTTACTCTGGTATTAGTCAGTGCTATAGTTCCGAAATCTCCATATTTCAAAAAACCGCGGAGTAAAGGTTTTTCAACTAGACTCTTTGTCAGTTGACTCTCGTTAGTATTAAACCTCAATATAACACAGGACGGATTTTGAACTATTCTTCCAAGTTTTTGGGCATACCATTCTTGACAATACCTGTTGAAATTAGTGGTAGACATTTCAAGTGTCGTAAGGTTAAAGTAGTGACAAGCGCCAAATAGTAATAAACGAAAATTTTAGCACTTCAAACTGACAGACACTACACTGACATGACGGTTGGAATGACCCAGTCGACTTCAAACGGCGAGAATACTTGCTCTTTGAGCTCCCACCGTAGAGACTAGAGCCACTGACGTACCGTAAATAGCGCACTTTCATTAGTCAGGTCATATTTATATTATTTAAACAGCTGCACGCTTAATATCCCTGATCAGATTGCAGGACTGATACATATTGTAAGTACACAATGTAACTATTTCAAGGTAGTGGATCACGATCTACTTTAATTAATCAGTTATACTGATTCAAATATACTGGGTTATTTAAATAGTGTTTGTATTTTTATCATTCAATCAATTTAGCCCCTAAATTATCTATTACCTGAACCCTGAGTCAGTCATATAACAATCTCAACCTGAAATAACGCGGTCCAAAGAGGAAAACCAATTTGACAGGGATTTAACGGAAGCAGAACATTTCCTTTGAATGACTATAAATCCCATGTATCCTCTTCCATTCTGGCAAGTAGTGGGCTTTATGCGGAACTTGTGAAGGTAAGGTGCATTTGCATATTGATTTTGCTATTCACAGTAAAATTCCCTATCGAACATAAGAACAGCCCCAATAACTGTAACTTCCCAAACGGCAACGTATAATGAGTCACAAGCAGACCTTCCTTAGGAACAAGTAGCCAGGAATACTTATGACCTTTCCTTTTAGATACTTCAGAAGTGTACTGACTTTTAACGTACTTTTTGAACAATAACTTTTCCATTAACAACTATCTTTAGCACGGATATAGAAAGTTCACATAATATTTACCGGTCAACATTTTACTGTGTCGAGTTACCGACTGTATCGACAGGTGAGTAGATTGAGTGACGTATATATATATATATATATATATATATATATGCGCTACTGACTTTACTTGATAAGGAATTACGAGAAAGTTGTTGGTTTTACAAACCATGATGGTTGCATAAGAAATAAAATGGGCGTCAGGGTTCTGTTGCTCTTAAAATGTCAAATTCGTTACCAAATAAGTATCGGATGAGTTGATAAATGGCCCTATATAGAGTACCATCAAGCGAATGGCTGGAATTTCCAGTCTCAGTAATTATGAGCAATATGAAATGCGCGACGTATCAAACAGTCAGCAAGTTTGCTTTATAGAAAACCACCATTTAATTCTCCTGATAACTTGGTTTTCATAAAGTAGCTAAATTTCGGTATATGAATCACGTGTGAAGTTTTTCAAACTTCTCCCAAGAATATCATTGGTAATCGTCATGTGAAGACGAAAAACAGGAACAAATGAGTTTACCATAGCAACCTAGTTGTATGACAGAAGTACACGTGACTGCCTACCAGTATGTAATACGACTGTGTTATCTTCTCTCCTTTCCTTAACGATTTCCAAAGCTCTTGAAATAAGATTTAAAATGTTAACTACATGAATGAGTGAACTTCTGGGACAATAAGTTTGTAAAATATAAGCTACTTTTCACATTAACAGCACATTGCACTTACATAGTTTGTTTTCTTTTAGGTTTGTTTTTTATTGATTTTATGCGTGTACGTAATGTCTTTATATCTCTAACCAGTTCATCATGTATGAATTTATCTTGTCCAGTAGCCAAACTAAGAAGATTTAGATCTTTTTCTTTTAAAGTCATCATTAAGTCTGTTTGATACTTTATCTACAAATTAATAATATAGAGGTTGATTGTCCACAATACTTATCAGAAACCAAAAAAACTTGCCAAGAAGCACTCGAAAAATGAATTAGACAATAGGGTTGATTTCATCATAATAATTTTATCACCATAACTTAGAATCAGATAAAAGTCCTGAAACCTAAGGATCAAATGTTTTGGGGAATGTTAGTGTTTACTAAACGAGAAGTAAAGATTTAATCCTTTCGCCTCACACTTCAAATACTAGTAAACACAGTACTTTTTGGGAGTTTATTTCACGAAATGGTGTAAGCCAGGAAATCATGCAACATTATAAAACGGTGCTGTTTTGCCATAGAACATTGTAGCAGTACACATCAACGACCACGTGAAGAACTGAGTCCAGTCATTGGTTTTCGCATCAAGTACGATACCATTTAACTAATAAGTCGAGACTTAATGGTCCACGTTTCTAGTAACATTTCGTTCACGATATAGCACGATCCTCGTTCAACGTCATTAATGAGTTTGTCTTATTTCATGATAGGCTCACTATACAGATCACGGAATCTCAACTAGAACACGTCAGAGAACCCATTCATAACTTGATCATAAGTGCAGTTTATGATTCGGATGGATGGTTTTGCAAATAATAACTTTTGAAACACCAATTTTTACAGAACCACTTGTATAGATATGATACATTTGGATAACTTTGCATACAAAATGTAAAGTTATAAAGATGACATCGCATTAATCAAAACAATTAGTAATGTCTTAATGAAAACAAAACCAAATAGGGATTAGAATTCCATCAACATAGATAGAGTAAGATGTACCATTCAATTTACGATGAAATCACTTAAAATTACTGAAGTACGAGTACTTGATGGGACTATGCAAACTACTCACTGATGATTTTAAAAAGTCACCAACCCTATTTCATGGCGTTATCGAAGCACTTATCGAGTAGATAGTACAAATTTATTTAAATCCAACAGATAAGTTCATAATACTATATTCTGATATCTGATCTGTGGATATTTGACATTACTACTGATGGGGCTCAAAGTTTTGAGGAAGTAATTGTCCTAATCGTAGCTTTTTGTCGCTTATTGCACCAATGCGTAGACTTTAACCAATAATGTTGAACAAAGTTGTGCGCCGTCATTGAAATACATAAGATAAACTTTATTAAAAATATCTACGACTCCATGTTTGTGTTGTAATAGTGATAGAAAATATTTGGGATAAATTCAATTTAACAAAGTCACTACCGAACTAGGCATCCATGATTGGTACCCTGTATGATTTTAATAACACTTCCCAATGTATATGTTACGTTCGGGAATATTACTACCTGCTTTTTAAGAATTTTAGAAACCACTTAGGATTATGTCTTACTGTTTAGAATGAGGTGTAAAATCACCTTATCTCACAACAAAATGAAAACTTGACGGTGACGATTATGAACTTACAGTGCGGATATTTGTCCCTTTTTTAATATCTGTGAGTGGCGCGAGAGATTCCAAGCGTTTGTCCACAGTCAAGGTTCTGTCTAATGAATGCAGTTCTGAGTCGAGTTCCTGAAGAACTTTAAGGTCTTATAGGTCAGGATACGGAATTCTACTTTACTTTTATGTGTAGAAGCATACAAATGATCAAACTTAAGGGACAAGTTTTTGAATTCGTTTTGTAAGTAATCAGATGTGGATGGGGTGATGTTTACTGGAAAGTAAAAAATGAGGTAAACTAACCTGGTTCGGAAGATAAAATCTCAAAGTTATGAAGCCTAGTAAGAAAGTGAGCATCTCCAACTAAAATCATGTTGTTTAGGATCTGATAAGTGACGCTCGGTTTTGAAGAGGGCTTACTTCAGATTCAGGAAAAGCAAGTGACGGAAAAACAGCATCTACAAAACAATGGAGCGTCAATCGCAACATATTACATTAGTCCTGAATAGGTTCAGGAATCTTAAGAAACACTACAAGATAGAAACCTAAAGATTATATATTGCCATCACAAAATACACCTAAACACACATTATCAGGATTCCTGACAGTAATCAAAATTAACACAACCCAGTAGCAGATTAGTAAATAGTCCATAAATTAGTAGTCCATAATGATACGGTATGCTGAACTGCTTGCCCCCAAATGCCTTGGTATGGCCGAGAGTGGGGTGGACCCGCCCTCCCTCTCGAAATACTCTCACACGGCCACGCGTATACAGCCTCAGTCAGTCAGTCAGTAACAACGTAGAACTTCGTACGTACGTACATCGGTTCGAGTTGCCACACCACATTAGCACAGAGATGCACTTGTCGATTCAAATCCCGTAGTGGTAGAGGTAATAAGAGTATAAGCAGTAATCGGGAAGATTAGGGTTTGGAGATGTTATTTAAAGAGTATAATCCAGTGAAATAAATTTGGAAAGAGGAAAAAAGGACATGAAGAATTCAGAAGATTAGAATTTGGGAGAACACAGAGAGTGGATGCACCTGCGCCATTGCAAACGATTTTGAGCCATGTCGGTTGAGCCATCGGTTGCTATCATCTCGCGGTCCCCAACCAGGTAGTCTACACCTACCAACATGACTCAGTTCACTTGTCAGTGACTTCATGGACTTGTGCCATGTTTTGGTTTGGCCGCCCCTAGCTTTCTTCCAACCTACTCCTATACCACTGAACATCGCACGTCGAGGTAGTCGGTCGTTGGGCATACGTAACACGTGTCCCAGCCATCTCAACTGATGAAGTTTCACTACTTCATCAATTGATTTGCCATCCTTACCTAGTACCCGTCTCCTAACAACTGTGTTACTTACTCGATGGTCCCATGATATACGAGCAATGTTTCGAAGACACCTATGATCGAATACTAGTAACCTACGAATATCCTCTACTCTTACCGGCCATGTTTCACTGCCATAAAGAAGGACGGGACGAACTGCTGCGCAGTAAACACGTCCTTTGGTTGATAGACGGATATCTCGCCTACGCCATAAATGACGCAAGTTAGCAAAAGCTAGTCGAGCCTTCTGTATCCGTGCTGAGATTTCGTCACACACCAGATCACAAGGGCTGATGAGACTTCCAAGATAAGTGAAGCGGTCGACACACTCAACTACTTCACTCCCTATCACTAGTTCGGGTGTCGATGTAACCCAATTCTGAAGCAACATTTTGCATTTCGAGGTAGAGAATCGCATCCCGAACATGCTTGCATTGTTGCTTAGAGTGGTCAGAAGACTCTGCATTTTGTCAGCGTCTTCACCAAATAAAACTATGTCATCTGCATATTCTAAGTCAACAAGTGAACCTCCTGGTAGAAGTTCAACCCCTGGAAATTTAGATGAGGAGAGTGTTATCTCTAAAAGTACGTCAATGACAAAGTTGAACAAGAATGGGGAGAGTGGACAGCCCTGACGAACACCACTTGAGGTAATCAATTCTGATGACAGTTCACCATAAGCTCTCACTCGACCAGTTGTGTTCGAGTAGAGAGCCTTTATAAGGTTAATGTAGTTCTTTGGTACTCCTTTCAGTGACAAACACTGCCATAGAACCTCACGATCAATAGAGTCGAATGCTGCCTTAAGATCGAGAAATACTACCATTGTGGGGCGTCTGGATGTGTGTCTGTGTTTAAGAACCTGACGCAGTGTGAATATCTGATCTATACAACCACGTCCAGGTCGAAAACCAGCCTGGTTTTCTCTAGTCTGCTCTTCACGAGCTTTAGTTAGGCGTCGAAGTATTATTGAGGCTAATATTTTAGACACTATATTAGTCAAACTGATTCCTCTGTGATTGTCACAAGAGGACTTTTGTCCTTTCTTATAGACTGGCACAATCAGTGATTGAGACCAGTCAGATGGGATTACGTCCAGTTACCAAATTCTACCTAAGACCTCGGTTAATCTCATTGCTAATACTGGACCACCATCCTTAAAAATCTCAGGAGTAAACCTGTCAGGGCCTGCTGCTCTCCCTCGTTTCAGATTTCTTATGGCTTTTTCAACTTCGTAAAGGGACGGAGGACCTACATTAACTTGCCATTCAGGTTGACTGGAGATCGTGGGAAACCGAAGTGTGGCTGAAGGCCAGTTGAACTGATCCCTAAAGTGTTCTGCCCATCGATCCAATCTCCTGGATTGAGAATGTATAATATGTCCATCTTTCTCTGAGAGTGTTTCGCTAACAGTCGGTTTCCTAATACCGGTTTCCTTAACGAGTCTGAACAATGGTCTGCTATTACCTATTGCCGCTGCCTTTTCCATCTCTCTTGCTTTCGCTACCCACCACTGTTAGCGATCATTGCGTAGACTTCTTGTCAGCTTGCGCTTAAGCTGACTCCGCTCTTCATTATGTTCAGAGCCAGGTGGAATGAGTTTCCAAGCATCAATCAGTGAGATAGATGCTGCTGAGATCCAGTGTTGCTCCCTAACCTTCTGGTTTACCTTACTAGCAGATATCACTGCTGTTTCCACAGCTTTTCGGATATCATTCCATGCTGCATCGGAGTGGGCATCACTTACATGGCTGCCTAACTGTTTTCCTAGTTGTTCCTGAAATATACTCTTAGCTTGACTATCATTAAGTAGGCCTCTAAGAGGTTTACTTGCAGCGTCTTTCCTACGTCCAGTAAGACGCAAGCAAATACGCGCTCGCACTAGAGCATGATCTGAATCTAGGCATGTGCTCCAGAATGAGCGACAGTCTTCTATCGAGCCCCTCCATCGGTGGCCGATAGTGATGTGATCTATTTGGGTCCAACGTTGGGACGAATTAGGGGGTCGCCATGTTAAAAGATGTTTTTCCTTATGCTTAAAGTTAGTATTTGCAAGGAACAGGCGGTTATCTGAGCATAGCTGCAACAGACGGTCGCCATTATCTGTTCTTTGAGCCACGACACCATAAGATCCACCCAGGTGTCTTTCCCTATCGCTTAGTTTACCTACTTGAGCATTAAAGTCACCTGCCACTATTACTACATCCGAGCGCCTAGCTTTTCGGAGAAGGTCCGAAAGCTTTCTGTAAAACTCATCTTTTACATCATCTGAGCTGCAGTCAGTGGGAGAATAGGCAGAGACGACGAAGAGGCAACGACGAGTGTCCCTATCTTTCCGGATTCTTACTGTTCCGTTCAGTCGGACAGCGCACAAACGACTGTCTACTGGGATCCACTCTAAGAGAGCTAGTTCTGCCCTAGGACTCAATGCTATACCTACGCCGGCGAGGCCACGGGAAGCAGAATCAGGGCTTCCAGATACACGAAGCGTAAATCGAGTCGGTTCTTTATTTTGGCATGATGAGGCCAAATGAATGACGCTACTTGGATCCTGTATGCGCGTTTCGGAGACGCAGCACACATCGATGGCGCGAGATTCTAGAGTTTTAGCTAAGGAAGCCTGCTGTCCTATTTGGCAAAGTGTTCGTACGTTAAAAGCTCCTACGTGTAGTTTAGAGCGTAGTTTCAGGAGACCAGGAATGGCGTTCCACGTACTCGAATCGTTTGCCCTAGCGGTGCAAGGTGATAAAGAGACGTGAGGAGGGTTAGTCGGGGAGATAAGAGAGGTATTAGGAGGTGCAGGAAGGATTTGAATGTGACCACCTTGGTCTCTTGTGCTGTTACGGGCATGAGGGCTGATGTCACTTCCCGGCTGCCCACACCGTGGAAGGGTATTTCTTGAGGAACCTGAAAAGGAAATTGGATTAGTGTTGGTTTTGACGACCTGGAAGCGTGACCGCAGAGCCCAAGGGACAACTGCTTGAGGCCGGTCGCGCACGGCCTTTTTGTGGAAGGTTTTTGACGTGTTAGCTCCGTTCTTCAAAGGGCCTTACCGCCGGAGACGGAAATCCGTGAGGTAAGGTGAGGTGTGCATTTTTAGGGTCGACCTCTTCTAACCCCACCCCTCCTTGTGGGAAGGCAGCATCGCTGCAGATGCTGGTTGTCCGAGGGAAACATCTTACTGCTGTCACAGCCCACTACAATCAGCAGTACGACTTCGACCTCAGACCTTGAGTTGCTGCTTTTAGTCTTACCGTTCGCCAATCGACCTGCCTGGCATGGTAGAACCTGCAGGAACATATGTTCCAGTCAATATAGCTCGGTTGGGTCATCACGATAGGCAAGCCCGACCACCGCGTCAAGGTAGCAGCTTCGATCGGGGTATACAGCCTCTGCGAGGAAAGTCCTACTCACTGCCTTCTCGTGGCGTGTGTGTTGTTTACGGAAACGAGAGGACGAAAAGCGAATGTCCGGCGCTTTAACCGGATCCCAAATCAATAGTGCACATGGGCTCTAGTATTCTGTGGGACCAAACGGCGTACGAACCAATTTCTTGGTCACCGGCTACCATGGGACTGCATCTCCTCACGATGCTCCACTACCTTGTGGGTTAGACCTTTAGGTCAAAGGCTCGGGGTGTGGCCCCCTACGAATACCACCTGCTTCGGTCTGGGCACCCAGGCAGTTTCACAGCCCGCACACACAAAAAATGATGAACAGTCTACTTATAGAAAATATTCTTCTTGCTGAACTGTTTTGGGACAATAACCATCTACGAACCGATAGCAGTTAGTTTTTTATCTAACAATCTTAACAACTAAACCTTTGATTTTAAAAAGCTCCTGCTAAATGAAGTATCTTTAGTCAGCAAAAATTTTGGAAAAGTGTAAGAAACGATGCCCGGAAACCTTTAACACGGAGCCAAACACCAGTCCAAATGTTGCACAGACACACGTTCACATGTAGTTGGCCCCACCTGTGTTCGACTATATTCATATTTCGCTAGTAGCTCTTAAAATGTAGGGTTACTGTAACATCCCAATTTTCCTACTTTTAGAAAAATTTTGTCCGTCTTGGGAAAACCTGTATAGAAAATTTTGGAGGAATGGCGCAAAAACCCCAAAATTTCTACACATCTAGGAGAATCCCCTAGAATTTCGGGGATTTCCCTAATACCTCCCCAGACTTTGAGAGAAACCCCAAAATTTCCTCACAATCGGGAGATTTGGATTAGCAACACAGTGAGATAAAAACGGACTTCGATTTGAAATTATGAACAGGTCGATCGTTTGGATCAGTACATTTAATTGGGCAGTTACAGTTAATCAGAAGCTGATTGAGTTGAGAATACACAGGCATCTCATCAGGGGATTAACTCCAACAACAATTACAGCCAACTGATCTAGTCGCTTATTACAATTGGAAATGCCTCAAACGGTTATGGACGAAATAGAAGCTTTCGCTTAACGGTCTTCCGTGTCTATTAGAAGTGGATCACCAATACCTCCAGGCAGGAACCTACGTATATTAATGACAATAGAGGATAAAAGAAATTGGTAAATCATAGAATGGTATTATTCTTAGTTCTTAAGAACACATCAAGTTTCCTCTTAAAGGACTCCTACGAAGTCGCTTAGATCAGCTCAGCCGGCAGCGAATTCCAGCATTTGACAACTCTTAAAGAGTACAAGTTGTGTCTACAGTCCATTCTACTATGTTGCGTCTCCAGTTTCTGGATGTTACTCCTCAGGTTTGTGTTGGAGCTAAACTTAAGCAGGTGTTTAAGGGGATGTTCAGAATTGTTAAGAACACTGTAAGCCATTAGGTCACCTCTTAGACGCCTGCACTCTAACAGGTAAATGTTTAGTGATCGGAGGCGTTTTCACAAGGCTTGAATTTGAGTCCCCGAACTGATTTTGCGGCTCGCCTTTAGATACGCTCCTGAGTGTCCTTATCCTCATGAAGTGAGGGAGGAAATACTGTTTCCGTACTCTGAACGGGGAAGAATAAAACTGTTGAAGATCATGTGGAAAGTTTTCTCATCAAACTGGCCGAAAGTGAGCTTGAATGTTACCAGTGCAAGGTTTGATCGAAAGGCATTTTTGTCACAGCGTAAGCCTTCAAATCGTAGGGTACCTCATATACCACAGATAGAGCATACGAACCAAGGAACTTATTCTAACCAAGTAGATTGAATCATTGAGTATCAGTGACAAAATTATATGGCAAATTGAGAAAAAACTATCTACACAACAAACCAGCCTGAGACATTGTCAAACGGCAACCATCCAGTAGCTTCGCTCCCTGATGGAGGTTACTGAGCACTTGAAGGTCGACCTGTCATGAAACGATTGGTGCGTCACTTCGACAATTTGAAAGATTTCGCAGAAGCGGTCAAATCAAGACATTTTCAAATTTGATTTGAGTCCAGCCACACCATAACTGATAGCCTCCATCCTTCTAGTAACCAAAGTGATTCCATCGTAATGGTGCATGATATAGGACGAATCTTTGATGATGTTCTGCTTCAGTCTTCAGTAATAAGAATAGTAGATTGATGAACCTGCGTTAATCCTGATACATTGCTTACGGTGAAGGTGCAGCTTCTCCTTGAAACTATTCACTGATGGGGCTGATACCACTTGTTCGGGTAAGGCGTTCCAATGATTGACTACTCGATGAGAAAAACGGGACCCCACTTTAAATTTATTAGATCTTGGTTTATGAGCCTTCCTGCAAATGACCACGGAGATTATTAGTGCTGGAGAGAGCAAAAAGATAAGACATATTAACACCCAAATCATAAAGATACGAAATGCCAGTATAAGGTCACCTCGTGTCCTACGATACGACAAGGGGGAAAAGATTTAGGCGTTTTAAACGCTCATCGTAAGGGAGTCTAGAAAGAGCCTTCACTAATTTCGTTCCCACACGCTGGACACGCTCATAGGAGTTAGTATCCTTTACCAGACACGAGCTAGCTGCTTGGATACAGTACTCTAAGTGTGGTCTCACATAGGTGGGATATAAAATTCGAAACGTTTCCTCGTCAAAAGATTTGAACGCTCGGCGATGATTTAGCAGTTGAGACAATTTTGAGACCAGGTGATAGAACTCCTGTTCTTGATAATTCCTTGTATGACATATATACACTAGGTCTACCATATCGGTATGTAGAAGGAATGAAAGTGTGCCCAGTCCTAAACTATCTTTTCGTCGGCTATTTTTGTTCATTTGGACTTAAACGCTGTATACAGGGATCAGATGCATGCCATCGGGATATAACTGATAATGGTGATCAATATTCTTCCTAAGAGCATCCACCTCCAAACTCATCACCACAACTTAGACAAAGAAGGTGACATCAGCCATCTACGCATGCTTCATTTTAGGTCCGTGCAGTAGATGATGAGCTAAAGGTCACCTCCATTAAAACTTAACACAACCACCCTTGCACAGAAAGATATATTTCTGCAGATCTTTCAAGATGACAGTTAACGTCAAGTAAGTAGTTTTATTGGAGACCGTTTTTGTTCAGTAATACGTCAGTGCGTGGCGTTCGATATCTCGTATCTTGAACGTCCCCCAAGGACGATGTTGCCGAATTCGCTCACAATTGTATCCAAGATGTTCGACTTACATTCTAATTAATCTAATCAATACATTAAACATATCAACAGTATTTTACGGATCATCTAGTCAAAAACAGAAGCGGAATTACTGAGAGAGAATGGGAATATATCCATGATTTGCTTCAGTTACTGGGAGCAAATAGCTATCAACCACATGTTTCCAAATGTATTTTGTATTGACTTGACTGTGGTGTTTAAATGAACTGATAATTTGTTTGTACTTGTTGAGTGCTTGATTTCGAATTCTAAATACAATACATTCGTTCGTGCCTATCTAAAACTTCTTGATCCGATTACGTTATTTCTGGGATTCCTAGTTCATACTATAATTCAAATAATTCGAAACATTATACTTGACCTACCACACCGACAAATTTGGCAACCTAGTGAATAATAACGGCTTTATCTTTGGGATTTCCACTGTTCCAACTAGTGGTTACTGGTAGTCTTGGGCAAAGACATGCCGTCATGCATGCACTTTGTAAGCAAGTACGATACTGATATGTCATAAGACTACTTGAACCCTTCGAAGACACGATACACTTAATTTTTCCTTGTATTAAGCAACGACCAAAATTTCCGCAGTGCAGTCTGTGCAAAGTCATGCCGGCATAATACTGTGTTCCTTCCACTTCTTAAGTGTTTTTTTCAGAAGGGGAAGCGTTAACTGTACAAATTATTTTCTGTAGTTTAATAAGCAATAACTGTTAGGATAGTCGGAAAAATATACCAATAATTATCGTGTTAAGTCTATGGTGGCCTTGGACCTCAAATGTACATTTCCTATTGGTCGATGTTTATTTCACTTGTTAAATATTGTGTAAATGTTGTTTTCTATTATATGGTACGATGTGGGTTGCTTGTTTGGTATATAAATAGAGTATGTCTGAAATACAATGATTCATAACTCAGAGGCTGTGACTTGTGTTCTTGACTCAACTGGCTAGGACAGACAGCGAAGCAAGGCCAATCAGGGCACTAGGTCGTCCACTACGTGTTTTGCGTGTCACTGCAACCGATCGGTAAAACGCTGCTCCATCTAACCGTGCAGTCACATCCCGTTACAACAATTGGCGACGGGGTAGAGAAAATCTTGAACCCTTTAATTGGACGAGATTCAGCCTATCTATTTTGACCAATCAAGGGCACTAGGTCGTCCACTACGTGTTTTACGTGTCACAGAAGCAGTCGATAAATACGCTGCTTATCAAAACCTGCAGTCATCCCGTTACAACAATAACGAATAAGCTATGTTATCAGAATCCATTTTTCTGACTGATCATAGCTATGCTTTTTAACAGCAAGACATCTAATACTGTAGTTTCTTCAGCTTCACACGAATTCATCCATATGGCCATAAGTTTGTTCTTACAGTATTAAGGCAGGTAGTGTACTGTGTAGTTTTGTGTTAGTGTGTGGTTGTGAAACATGGAGATGTTGGTTCGTGTTGATGGTTAAGGATTACCAAATTGGCGCCCGCGCAATCAGTCACAGGACGGTTTACCAAATACTGCAACCTTAAACTTGATGCGTTCAATTACTAGGTTCAAATCGGTACTATTGCACTGTTTAGAAGTCTTATAGCAGTCACTTTTGACAGTTATTATGTTGATTTTGATAAGCTTTTGTTTCGTTACATACGAGTAAAACTGGATATTTGATTTCAGTTAGCTTTACTGTTGGAGAAAGCATTGACTCACGATTTTCATCTGTTCTCTTTCGCCGAAGATCTAAGTCTCCATCTATTCTTCTCTCTCAGCGGTTTGCCAATCATAAACTAACAGCCTTTTCTTCATATTCACTTCTGCAGGTATGATCATCTTATGAGTTTGAAATAGTTTTTCCTCACCTCAAAAATCAAGACTCAGACATATACCTATACCGAAATCTATAATCATTTATATAGATAAAGGGTATATACTATCTGTTAAATTGTAATACGTCTGCTCATCGAGTGGTAATTAGGAGTGAGTGATCGCAAGTTGTTTATGAGATACTCATGTTACAACATATATTTAGTACATGGATGTTCATCTCCCAACATAGTTCCATCGCTGACTATCAGATCCCGAAGTTATGTAAAAAATCCTTGAACACATGCAAAGTGTATTACATTCTATTAGTGATTATTTACAAAATTATGAATACCAACTTCCTACTGAGTGTGCAGACTCCGGTTATCTAATCACATGTAGGGCCAGTTGAATGTCATTGAGCCTTAGCCAAATAATCCGGCAGTTGGATTACTGAATACCAAACAGATAATCGATCCCTGTCAAAGTCGAGGCCAATCAACGAGCATCTGTTAATCATATGCCATGGACTGGCCAATACGTTGGTGGTCTCGCTATCTTCTCTGTACTCACTCTTACCAATATATTTCCATGACAACGTCCTTTATGTTATACGGTCTTCGAAGCAGTCATAGCATCTAGATACGTCGAAGGGGTAATCCACGTTAGATGCTGGGCGCGAGGTGTGATTTCGAAGTTAGCTGGTTTGTCCCGCCACTCCTGTCCAACTCCAGTAGACCTCTGATCACTCTACATAGATCGTCTACGTTGGTGATCTACACTAGTGAGCAAGATTTCGAATAACACAATCTATCATCATCATTTTTGTTATTCCATTGTGTACTTATTCTTCTTCACTTTTATCTTCGCATATATTGATCGATTAATGTGAACATTCGTTGCATCATACCAATGTTGATTAAAACGTAATAGCAGCATATAAATGCTTATGTGTAATATGTCTGTTATAATATCAACCACTGGTAAGTATAGCCACAAGGCAACACGAATGCATATCTGTTTGTAACTTATCCACCTGTATAAGCGAGACAACACTAACTGTCGATCATGAATTCATCTTTCTGCTTAGTCACTATCAACTATCTTCCGTCAGAAACTATTCACCAGAATATTTTACTTACTTGACCACTGCCTGCCCAATTTCAAATTGGTCAGTTCCATGGTCAAACAGAGGATACGAATACTAGAAGCTTACGGTGAGATTGAACTATAAATTTCCTGCAACCTCAGATTTCGTTTAGACTGCCGGTCAGAGAATGCCACGTATTTGGCTTAAATTAGTCTTGAACTTACACAAATTCAGTCTACAACATTGTTTTAATCCAAGAATTTATTCAGCATTACCTCATATCAAATGTAGGTTCAAACTACTGTCTACCACAAATTTTCATTAATTGGAAGCGAGAGTAACCCAGGCAATTTTCGTAATTTCATTAGATAATTTCGTACTATGTTTATGATGCCCAACAACACTACGTAGTTATTTACACGTAGAGTGGTCATATATTCCGTCACTGCCATCAAGTTCTACTCAAAAACATGTATATTCATGACTCGTCATGCCGTGGAAGAACGTATTGCATGTACACGAGCAATCTTGGCCCATGTCCTAACTAGACACTTTGTCGTACATAATATGTCACTTAACGCTAGGTAATAAGCTTGTAGAATTATGGTCTATTATGATATTAGTGCTGCTCTAATAATAGACCTAATCCTAAATCTGTAGATTCGTCATAATATAACTGCCTAATCTATAAGATCTTACGTGGAAGTCACACCATCGACTACACCAACTCACTGTATCGTATCAATTACCAATACATTATGTAGAACAAGGTTAGGCTAGAGAAAGAACAATATATTTAATATGAATAGAAGATATAAGGTAACATTAAGCAGAGACCACGCCTG